TCTATCTATCTATCTATCTATCTATCTATCTATCTATCTATCTATCTTTATACAGTATGTGTATGACTCAAGTGACACAAGAGAATGGGATTACGTTAGTGATTCAGATTGATGTTTTATGTATAAAAAAGCATCTTCTCTTTAGATTTTTTTTAATTGCTTTCTTCAAAATCACAGTTATGCAATGTAATTAGTGTATTTTGAAACAAGGATATTGTGGATTATGGTATGTATTATTATTGTATTACAGCTATAAGCAGTGATGACTTCCTGAGATTCTTGATAAATAACATTATTTCAATTGGAGAGAAAATTCAAACCATCCTGTTGCCTCAGATTCACTGTCAGATGAGACAACTCTAGAAATATTACTAGACCCTGATTTGTGTTTGGACTGTTTTTGTCCTGTCAAAAAAACAACATCTTCATCCAAACCATCCACATGTCTGCTAGATCCCGTCACAACCAGACTATTTAAAAAGGTATTTATACCTGAATTAATATCCACATTTTGGATCTGCTTAATTTGTCTTTAATGAATGATTACGTACCACAGCACTTTAAGGTTGCTGTAATTAAACCTTTCATTAAGAAACCTGATCGTTATCCAGGAATTCTGACCAATTATAGACATATTTCTAATCTAACAGTCATCACAAAGATTATTGAGAAAGTTGCAAATCAGTTGTGTGAACATCTGAACCAAAATAATCTGTGTGAGGAGTTTCAGTCAGGGTTAGTATAGCTATAGCACAGACACAGTACGGGTGAAAGTCACTAATGATATTCTCATGACCTCAGACAATGGACTTGTGTCTACACTGGTCCTGTTAGACCTCAGTGCTGCATTTGATACAGTTGATCACAATATTTTACTACAGAGGCTTAAATATGATATTGGGATTACAAGAACGGCTCTAAAATGGTTTAAATCATATAGAGTCCGGTTTGTAAATGTAAATGATAAATCTTCTTCATACATACTTCATTAGTCATGGAGTTCCTCAGGGCTCAGTGCTTGGATCAACACTGTTTACTTTATATATGCTTCCATTAGCTAAAATTATTAAACAGAATGGGATAATTTTTTATTGCTATGCTGATATTTATCCATGATAAACAATGAATCTAATCAGCTACTTAGACTACAAGCATGTCTTAAAAACATAAAAACCTGGATGGCCCTAAATTTTTTGCTTTTGAAAACAGACAAAACTGAGGTTGTCATTTTTGGTTCTTAGCATCTTTGCAGCCTTTCACTTCCTCTGGATGGCATTAATCTGGCCTCCAGCTCTAATGTTAAAAATCTTGGTGTTATTTTTGATCAGAACATGTCTTTTAACCTCCGCATTATAAAAGGTACCAGAACGACTTTTTTCACTTGCATAACATCGCTAAAATTAGAGACATCTTGTCCAAAAATGATGCAGAAAAACTGGTCCATGTGTTTATCACATCTAAGCTGGACTATTGCAATGGTTTATCATGTGTCCCTGTGATGGACTTGACACCTGTCCAGGGTGTCCCCAGCCTCTCTCACAGTGATTGCTGGACATGGTCGCCATGACCCCGTGATCCGAAAAGGAAGAAGCGGGTAAAGATAATGGATGGATGGATATTATCTGGGTGTCCAAATACTTCTTTAAAAAGTCTTCAATTGATCCAAAAATGCTGCTGCCAGAGTCTTAACTGGAATTATTAGGTGAGATCATAATCTCTCCAGTTTTAGCTTCTCTCCTGGTTCCCTGTCAAGTCCAGAATTGAATTCAAAATCTTACTTGTAACATAAAAAGCTCTCAACAACTTGGCTTCATCTTATATTACAGATCTTAGTTTCCATACTTTCATAACAGAGCACTTGTATACAGAACTTACTGGTATATAGTATAGAGCCAGATTACCTCACATGTCCTTTGGGGGGCAGTGTTGTAAATGGTAAATGGACAGCACTCAGCACTTTTCTATCTGATCAATATACTTAAAGCTCTTTACACTACAATCTGTGCCCTCATCTACCCATTCATACTCTACTAGATCTATACAAAGACTAATCAGAGCTTTATCACATTCATACACTGATGGGACACACATCGGAGGCAGTGAGGGGTTCAGTGTCTTGCCCAGGGACACTTCAACATGTGACTGCTGGTGGAATTGAACCCCCTACTCTTGCATTGGAGGACGACTGCTCTAACCACTCAGCCACAGCTGCCCACTTGAATCACATTAAAGTGCTGAGCAGAAGGGGTCAGTTCTGGTGGAGTGGTGCCATTCCCCTTTGGTGAAAAAACACAAGTTCCCACAAAAAATGAAGGTCTCTGGCATTATAAAGGGAACGTGTTGTGACTAAGATAACTTTTCAGTAAAAAAATAAAGAAACTTTTTTTCTTTTAGCTGCTCCTTTCCTCAGCAGTCGCTACAACAAATTTTCTCAAAGACTTGGCAATAGTTTTTATGCCAGATGTCCTTCCAGACACAACCACCAAGCTGCCATAGAACTCTGTGTGGAGCAGAGCTACCATCTAGGGCAGCTGGTAGTGGAGATTAAGGGCCTTGCTCAAGGGTCCAGAGTGGGGCAAATTGGGGTGGAGGCAGGCGTGGATGCTTCACCTTTCCCACCCACATTTTGGTATAAGTCAGTCCAGGAGGTCGAACCGGCGACCTTCTGATCCCAGGCTCACCTTCCCTAACCTTTGTGCCACCACTCCCCTAAAGGTCATAGCACACTATTTCCACCTCAACCACATGCTTTGATGCGTGTTTTCTACGGGCTTTTCAAAAGCTGTGGAAGTAGTAGTTAATTGAAAAATGTAACCAAACATAGATTATTGGCTGAATGGTGCATATGTAAGTCTGGGCCAAGAGGGCCAAGGCCACATATGCAAAGAGGATTGAGGGTCAATTCATCTCACAAGACCCTCGGAGCATGTGGAGGGGCATTAAGTGCATAACAGATTATAAAGGAAGGAGTGAACAATGCCCCAAAGACCCATCTCTGCCTGATGCCCTCAACAAGTTCTATGCA